GGTGTCGGAATGTCTCGCTATGTTAGTACATTCTTAAAAAACAAAACACCATTTAATTTCGGGTTAAAATATGTTGTAACTGCGTTACTGAGAATTGTAACGAGTAGTATATTACCCACATTTCATTAGTAATGCGTTACATTACTTTGTTACAGCAAAAAGTAATACATTACTGTAACTCCGTTACTTTTGTAACGCGTTACACCCAACACTGCTCCTTTGTCATATGCTGTTAGTGGTTATCCTCCCACAAGATAGTATAAACAGCTAACAGCTAACATTAACTAGCTTTCCTTCTGCAGATTACAAAATTGATTTGTTGTTCACAATGTAACATATACTCTACCATCAATCAGGAACAACAAGATGCTTCTTAATGCAGACTGTGTTATTGCCTTTAATTTTACCTACAGTATCACTGCGAACACAGAAATCCACATTAGTCTGGTTCTGCTGGTTCTTTCAGAGAAGTACTTCATGTGCTTCAGAGCAGCATGGCAGCAACTAAACATTGTTTTCATTATCAATAAATCGTATTTAATCCAACTTGTTGATACATTCTATATAACTAGCTCAAATATTATCTAAGGAATCTTCTTAGACAGCACTGAGCCCAGGAAGCAGTCTGCAGCCGGACCCTCACAGTTTGGGTCGGGGTATCTCTCCACCTATAGCCTCCATCTGTCCAGTGTTCTGGGAGCTAAGAAAGGTGTGGTCCTGGTTCAAGTATGTGGTGATGAACTCTGGAAAATCTCTCTTCAGGACAACCTCCAGGAACATGTCAGCTGCTGTGAGTAACCTCCGTTTATCCCTGAGGAAGACACAGAGAGAGAAACTTCTGTTCAATAATAGAAATAAATACTGAAACTCAAACAGGGAAAGTTACAGAAATATTAAATCAACGAACATTAATGTGAAGTCAAAGTTATGATACTGTTTATGATTGATGAATGATGATTATGATATAAGCTTTTTCTCCTCAGCAGGGCACAATGTGCTACCTGTAGCTTACAAGCCATGGACACACATGATTTTGTTGCACTGCTATTGAAGAATAAGCACCACAGTATAAAATAGGAGACAGCTCCACACCTAAAGTGGCATATGTTTCAAAGACTGTGACTCTTTTTGGTGAAATTAAAGCCAAATATCAGCATTAGTCTGACTAGTATCTGAAAGAGGTGATGTCTTGAAAACAGCAAATACACATTTATCAAAGGGAGCATGATGTTTATAATTATGTGGAAATGAATTACGATTAAAAGGTCCCCTATTATACTATTTTTCAACAATATATCGCAGTTCTCGGATATTTACAGAACATGTCTCTGAAGTGATTGGCTGAAACACCAATCAGATAATTGCAGAATCCCATAATCCCCTGTTTCAGCCCTGTTCCAAAAGTGCTGATTCTGGGTCTATAGCTTTAAATGCTGATGAGCTGCTGCTGGCCACGAGACACAATGTTGCTCTAGGAGGAGATTCAGGTGATAAGGTACATTGACATTGACACATGTCCATATCACTGGCTTGTCTAAAAGGCATCCTGAAGGTGCTCACCTGTCAGAGGGACGGCCTGTCCCCAGCTCCATCAACAGCTCCATCACCATCTCCTTAGTGAGGTCAGTCACCAGCCGTCTGCTCACCAGCCTGCTGTCATCCTCCAGCTGAGTCTGGTGACGGATCCACTGCCACACCTGAACACACCACACACACGCACGCACGCACGCACGCACGCACACACACACACACACACACACACACACACACACACACACACACACACACACACACACACTTGTCAATGTGGCTATACAGTGCTGGTTAAATCCGATTGTTGGAGATATCAACTGTGGAGATGTCTGTCTTCACTTCAATATAATGGAACTGATTTACACTCGACTTGAAGGCATTCTGCAGTTGTCACAAAATGTTGATAACATGCATTTAAACTTTAAGAAATGATGTTCGAAAGTCTTGCATTTACTGTATTATTTTTAACCTGCAGGTATTGCAACAGCAACGTGATAAGTACTTAGTAATATCTCAGTGGACATGTCCCTCTCATGTGTTGAATAATTTCTCTATGTGCAAAGCTCTAAAATGTAGTAAAATAATATCTATTTATAGGATTAGGGGTCATGCACGGTGTTTCCAGTGTAAGCAGTAAAGCCCACCTGTGATCTGGAGATCTCTGCTGTGGCTGAATCCTCCACCTGGCCTCTGTAGAAGAAGTGTCCTTTACCTGTACAACAGAACATGATTCTAACATTATGCAAGCTTCATCCTGAGTGCTCCTAAAGAAGAAGAGAAGAAGAATATGAACGTGGACTTACCTGAGAGCCATGCATTGATAAAGAGGACCCCGACTGCAATGTTATACTTCAGACCATAAAGAGTGACTCCTCCCTGAGGAAAAACAGAATCCATAAGTAACACATAAACACACAGTATATGTTCTTTATTTGAAGCTAACAATATCAGTTTTACATTTTCTTCTATCATGCTCTGCCACATGCACATACTCAGATCTTTGCTTTAAAGTAGCAATACTAGTGTGAAAATACTTATTTACAAATGAAAATCCTTGATTCAAAATTGTACTCAAGTAAGTACCAAAAGTAAATCGACGAGAGTGAAAATGGAACGCACACGCTATTTGTTATTTGTTTATATCACGTAGTCTGTTCTTCTTCTCTGTCTTCTGGTTGTTGCCTGTTTTTAATGGACAAGAGTACACACTAACCCTGCCTGCTGGTAAGGAGAGTTATTGCCACTCACGCATGCGCAGTTCGTACGTACTCGGCTGAAGTCTTTGCGGTGTATTCCAGTGCGACACATGGCCAAGACGCAGGAGAACACGCCGACGCAACAGTCGGCGTCGGCATCGGCGAGTTCTCTGGTGACTGCTTGGTGTGTCAGGGCCTTTAGATTACTCACTTAGGTTCACTCTAATAGAGTCATTTAAATGTCCATCAGTCAGTCTTGTTCTGTATTTAGATTTCATGTCATTCATGTCAGAAAAAGCTGCTTCACAAAGGTATGTAGAGCCAAATAAAGCAGACATTTTCAGTGCTGCTTGGTGGATGTTCTTATAGTTTTCTGGGTCTCCAAGGCTCCAGAAATGTTGTGAGTTTTGCTGAGATTTAAGCTGAACATTTTTTGGAGATTTATAACCTCCATCTCCATCTCCACAGGATTGACATTAAATTATAAACCAAAATAAATCAATTGTATAGCTCTAGCCTCCCTATATCTGTGTGTGAAATTGTTCCATCCTCAAAAACAAAAAACGTATACTTCTGCAGTCTAGCTGCAGCTTCTAGCAACGGTCTTCTGTTAAAAAAAGACACTGAATGTCTTGAATGTGGCATCACAAACATGACTTGAGTCTGAACACAACAGGAGTATTTACAAAAGCATTATAAAAACAAAAATTTTACATACCGGTACACACATTTAAATGTAAGTATGTAGTGGCGTAGCACATGTGTTGGTAAATATTTTACTTTGTTGCATTTGTTATCACCAAAAATGTGTTCTGTGAAAGTAAAGCAAGTTCATAATTAGATAGACATCGTGAGGTATTTATTTTCGGTACAGTTTATGTTGAAACCGTTAGAGAGAGTGGCACACTTGTTAGCCTGTTCCATTCTTCTTTGTTTTCCGAAGCCGTGGCTTGGAAATATACTTGCTCCGTTTCTGAAGGAAGTGACTTGGAAGTATGCGACTACCAAGCCAGTATCCTTGCG